CTTCTTTGATGGAATTTTTTTTTAATTAAAACTGTATTTTAAATTAATTATAATAATGTCTGAATTTTAAAAAGTAAATGTAATTAACTAGTAGAAAATTTGTAAATAATCACACCCAACACTAAACGGGACACTGAACCTAATAAACTCCCAACTACAGAATCACCTGACAGAATGATTTATTTTGAACACTTGACTAAAGTAATGAGGTGAGTTTGTAAAAACGTGTTATCAAATGTTGTATTTTCACATGCTTTCAAGCACAGAGATACAGTTCATTGAGAATCAATACAAACAGCTGTCAAATCACAGAACATTTATCTTTGATTTTAGGATTGCACCAGTTAAACAATTTCAAGTAGCTTGTCACTGAACTATGGCTCTGTTTATTAAATATTGCTCCATCTGAAAGAAGAAATTTGAGATTTACTACTGATTACAGAACCGGCTTTACTGACAAGATGTGCATAAAAATCACTTTGATTAATCATACAGCAATTAACCTAGCAATTGCTCAATACTTTCGACATTTGACATACTTTTGGCACTATAATCCCAACAGTAACTTCAACCCTCTGTAATCATCTTTATAAAGGTCAGAGGTGAGAAAGTTTATATTACAACAAAAAGCTTAAACATACATGTGATCACAGCACCTGCACGCACACAAAACAGCCTTCTGGTCTTCCCATCTGACAGCATAAGTGATCTGCTGCAAAGCTACTGAAAATTTCATCATCTACAGAGAAGAGGGACGTGAAGATGTGGACAAGAGCTAAGGGAATGGCTGCGGGGGAGGAGGGTGTTCAATAGTGGAAAACTGGATCCAGCATCACTGTTGCACTTAACTCCAAGTACATCCGATCTACTCCACGTCACTGAATGCACTTACCGTAAAGCCTCAAATGACCAACACCCCATCCAAACACTTCTCAATCTTTAGTTACAACTTGCAGGATGAAAGATATCAGTCTGCCTGTCTACAGAATGGATTAAGTGATAATGGTATAACGGAGGACATTGTCAGTACTTGGAAACAGTTAATAAGGAATAACAGGAAATCAAAAATAAAATAAAACAAAATAAAAAATTAAAATAATAAAATAAATTTAATAAAATTTAATAAAATTTAATAAAATAAAATAAAATAAAATAAAATAAAATTAAATTAAATTAAATTAAATTAAATTAAATTAAATTAAATTAAATTAAATTAAATTAAAATGAAATTAAAGAGACAAAACTGGATTTAACCAAAAATATAATTACTTATAAAATATATACTTCATTACTTATAAATACATATAAAATAAGATCAAGTAACTTAAAATGTGTGTAACTGAGGTATATTTATTCATAAAATACAATTAAGCATCTTAGTAATAATTAACTATTTATTAAAGTATCCACTCATTTACAAAATTGCATTTTAAAAAAATTAAGGTATTAAATTATTAGAACTACAAAATCTAGTATAAACAAATTATAATCACTCATCACAGCAATAAAAGAAAACTTCCATTAAATGATCAACTTGTATATAAAATAATAAAACATTTTCAATAATCATTAAAGTATCTACTTGTGCATAAATATATTAAATGAATAAAGTTTATTGAGTTTATATTTATCTATAATAAAATGGTAGAAATAAATTAAAATAATACATAAATTAAATTAAATTAAATTAAATTAAATTAAATTAAATTAAATTAAATTAAATTAAATTAAATATATACTTCTCAGCAATAATAAATTATATATTAAAATATGTTCTCATCTCTAAATATAATAAAATAACATCAAGTAAATTAAAAAGATGTGTTAATACAGATATATAATTCATAAAATACAATCACGCATCTTAGTAATAATTAACCATCGATTAAGGTATCTACTTTTTTACAAAATTAAATTTTAAATATATTAAGGTATTAAATTATTAGACATACAAAATCTAGTATAAGCTAATTATAATCATTAATCACAGCAATAAAAACCTTCCCTTAAATGATCAACTTGCATATAAAAGAATAAAACATTTTCAATAATCATTAAAGTATCTACTTGTGCATAAATACATTAAATAAATAATGTTTATTGAGTACAAATTTATTTATAATAAAATGGTAGAAATAAAACAAAATAACAGATACTCAACAATGATAGATCGGCTCAACTTCGATATAAATGGCACTGGGAGTAAGTAAGTATATACACCATGTAAAAAAAAAAAAACAATAATACATCATACAAAAATAAGACTGCTTATCGTACTACAGGAATAAGAATAACTAAACTTCATAGAGGAATAACAGCGCAGTCTGTGCATTAGAACAATCCTTTTAAATATTTTTCTTGGTGATGACGCACCAATGGCGAAATGATGAGGCATTCATTTTCAGCTGCGAAAGGCTTATATAAAAATGGTGTTTTCGAATGAAAATCGAAGGTTGAGAACTGAAAGATTACAGTGCTTAACGTTTTTTCATTTTTTAAATATTCAACTAAAAACTGGACAAAAGGTGGATTGGATTACATGTTGGTGAAAATGAATCACACTGGATCAGTATGTCATGTGTCTGAGAGTGGTCGTCCACACACTGCCCGTACTGTTGAAAATATCATCACTGTCAAAGACATGGTACTGAGCAAAGAAGATGCACCATGCACTATCGCACTGTTCGACAGAAGTCTAGCAATTATTACGTTCGATATGTAAACGTTGCCTATTTCTATGCGTGCTAATTTAGTTTGCAAGTAAAAAAATTGAAGTCCTGTCAATATTCAGGTTATCATCGCTTAACAAGGTAATGCAGTGATATATATCAGTAATTAAAGTTAGAGGTATTTTGACAATTAATTGCAATTATTAATAAATACAATTAATTTTTGAGACATGGTGTGCAATATATACAGTTGAAGTCAGAATTATTAGACCGCCTTTGAATATTATTTTAATTTTCAAATATTTTCCAAATGATGTTTAACAGAGCAAGGACAATTTCACAGTATGTCTGATCACATTTTTCTTCTGGGGAAAGTCTTATTTGTTTTATTTCGGTTAGAATTAAAGCAGCTTTACATTTTTCAAAAAACATTTTAAGGTCAAAATTATTAGCCCCTATAAGCTTTTTTTTTTTTTTCAATAGTCTACAGAACAAACCATCATTATTCAAAAACTTGCCTAATTATTCTAACTTGCCTAGTTAACCTGATTAACCTAGTTAAGCCTTGTAATGTCACTTTAAGCTGTATAGCAGTGTCTTGAAAAATATCTAGTCAAATATTATTATTATATATAATAATAATAATTATTATTATTATTAGTTATTTGTAATTAGTTATTAAAAAACTATTATGGTTAGAAATATGTTGGAAAAAAAATCTTACCTCTGTTAAATAGAAATTGGGGAAAAAATAAACAGGGGGATGATAATAATTCAGGGGGGCTAATCATTCTGACTTCAACTGTATATGGGGTAAAACTAGGACAGCTACAAAATATGGCATAAGCAAATATAACCATTCATCAAAAATACAATAAACAATCCGTTAAAATATTTAACAATTTAAAATCAATGGTAAAACAACACACAAAACAGGGCTTGAACAAGACACAACTGCTCAACCAAATCATGAATCATATATTACATTAAATCTATTTATCCATCGCTAAAATCTGTCTCTTAACCCTTCCCAATCCAAAGGTCAAACTCTCACACACAGCTGGTGCCACGACCACACTGCACCCTTCATTCTTCCCAAAATCACACAGAAGAAAACACACATGAACAACAAGTAGATTTTATGGCCATGACAGACTGAATGGCTCTTTCACCTCACGACTCAAGGGACCAGCGGATCTGCAACTCTGCACTTCTTCCTCTCGTTCCTCTCTTCTCTTTATTCACTTTAACCCTTCCCAACAACACACTTCTGCTGCAGTTATAATCACTAAAAAGGAAAGGGGGGGGGGGGGGGGGGGGCTAATGTGATGGATTGAATATGCTACTAATCATTTTCTCCTTTAAAGAAATATCTCCTCACAATATTAAATATGCTACATTGTACTCACTTATGTAACAAGCACTTACTATTGTACTAGATGCTTTATTCATTCACAAACAGAAACTACACTGAAGGTCGTTTGAAGGAGCTCTACTCATTTTTTTAAAGATAGGCTCATTTTGAAACTCCCAGTTGACTTTACCACTGATAAATCTATTCCGTCAAAATCCGGTTTTAGTGGGAGCACTTTTATCTTAGCTTAGCATAAATCATTGAATCAGATTAGACCGTTAGCATCTCTCAAAAAAAAAAGAAAAGAGTTTTGATAATTGTTCTATTGCTATATAGAACTACAGAAAAACTTTAAATGGGCAAATTTTTCAAAACTCTTTTTGGAATTTTTTGAGTAAGATGCTAACGGTCTAATCCGATTCAATGATTTATGCTAAGCTAAGCTATAAGTGTTCCCTGCCAGACCCGAGATCAACTGAATTGATAAAAAAAAAATTTTCCCAAAAAAGTGTACAATTACATTTTAAAGTTGTTTTTTAATACTCTTTCTTTTTTTTCTTCAGATGAGAGCTAAAAAAAAACCTTACAAATCTATTAATAAAATGAATTATTAGTATTAATGTTGTTGTGTAATTACATCTATAGATTAAATAGATGTTTAAATGTATCTACAATGAAAAGATAGTGTAAATTTCTAGATTTTAACAAATCAATCGCCACCAAAAATCATTACTAACCACATTTTATTTCAAATTCATAAGTGATTATTTTCCCTCTCTTATCTCATCTTTCATATAAACCCAAATGTAATCTTAGATTGATCAATGTATATCGCCACCTCTCACTATTCAGATCTTCTCAATGCTATTTCTATCCTTTAATTCTCCCACATTCTGGAGAATGAAGCGTTTCTTGACGTCTTGAATTCACCAGAGTGAGAAAAAACAAGAAAAAAAAGGAGCTGAAAGTTTACTCACTTTCTTGTTCAAATAGAAGGGGTCCAGGTCTTCCAGGGGCACGGCCAACATATTAGACGGGACGTCCCCATAAATAAAGGGCACGCCCTTCCCCGCTTCCAGGTCACTGTTGGGCTTGGGTTTGTTGTCATCATCGTCATCGCGGTGACTGCTGTCAGATCTGGGTTTAACAGGCTTCTTCTTCTTCTCCTCAGCGATGCGCTTCTCGATGTTGGCCAAAGATTCAGGGGTGAACCTCTTGAAGCTGTCGGGGCCTGGAGGTGCGAGCAGCGGCGCAGCCATATTGTCATCCTGCAGCAGAGTCCTCTTTATTTAGAAGCCATTCAGGACAGCAAGCGCTAGCAGAGGGAGGAGTCCGGACAGATGCGGGAGAAAGGGGAACATAGAGGGAAGAAAAACAGCAGATGTCAAAAGATGAAAAAGTTGAACAAAGCAAATGACTTTACACAAAACAAAAGGGAAATCTGCATTTTAAGCATATTCGTACTTGTGCAATTTGATAACTGCAGGCAAAAACAGACTTTGAGACAGTTTTTACAGTCTAAAATGAAAAGAAAACATACAAAATACACTTTTAACTGTTTCTTTTGTCACATTTAATCAATTTGTGTGTAATGTTAAAATATAATACTTGTTTTAGTTTTTCTCTGAGATGTAAATCTGCAGTTCACTAAAACTTACATACTGTAGGGATGCAACGATTACCCAATTTCACGATTAACCACGATTTAATTCATTGCATTTAATTAATCGTAAAGGCTTCTCAACAACGCATTTCTGCATGTAACAAAACTGCCACAACTAAATAAAGTTATGCCAACTGTGCGCTAGTTTAAAGTTCAAAGCTTGTTTATGGAGGTTGATAACCACGCACACTGGATTAACTATGGCTGAGGCTATTAAATAAAGGCCGTTCACATATTGCTTGTGCGAGTTCATCATTTATTTTCTTGCACGCATATTAGGACTCACGTTTTCCAGGCGTACCTCACTGAAAGAATGCCGCGAACTCGCCATGAGTCACAGGACAAGAACTGACCAGTCAGCTTTATACTTTGTATGGAATATACACATTTCTACTTCAAAGAGAAAAAACAAAACAAAAGGAAAATACCAAAAGGGTTCATAATACAGTTGATCAAAAGTGCCTTTCAGACAGAGGTTCAGCAGCCTTTGACTACATTTGCTCTCTTAAAAAAGGGAAATTCTTAGCTATTACGATGCTCACATTTACATTAGACAAATGCTATTTTTGTAATTTATCCTTATTTATCCTAATTTATTTATTTAATTTATTTATTCTGTCATTTATTTTCAGGGTAAACAACTGTTTTCACTTATTTTTAAAGTGCATAGAGAAATGGACTATTGTTTGTTTTCTATTGTTATTTTGTGCTGTATTAGTTACTAAGCAGCAATAAATAACACTTTAAAAAATAAGCAGTTTTCATGTGATTTTCTAAACTAGTAGTGTTTTGAAATAAATAAATGCATTACAATGGTGATAACCATGATTATTCCTCAGACTATAATGGTACAAGCAAAATCTATAACTGTTGCATCCCTAACAAACTGTAGACCAAACTTTATCATTTTCAAAATGCCTTCAGTACAAACCCTTGTCACTAAAGTGTCAAAAATGAAGAATTTTAAAAATGACATATTCAAATTTACAATTTTTGATGTAAACATTTGTGCAAACTAGCATGTACTTAATTACATTTCTCACTTTATATACACTGCTAACGATTTTTAAAAAAATTACACAGCATTTAACTGTAATATGAACTGTATTTTACTGTAGGACAGTTTTTGCAATATAAATATGGAAGTAGGGTTGCACAATATTAGAAAAAACTGACATTGCCATACTTTCATTTACTGCAATGAGATGATTGTGTAGGGCAGTATATCTGCAAAAAAAATCATTTTAAAATGACAAGCATAGTTAAATATAACAGACAAAAGATACAAATAAACAAAGATTTAAGATTTTCTGGCGTGTCAACCAATATTCAGAAGCAGAAATTAAGTAATCCCTGTATTATACTACTAATAATAACACTATATTGTTTTAATTGAGTACAAATGTAAAATTAACCTTCAAGCTACAATCGTTTTATCGATTACAATCGTTTCAAAATTATTACAGCCAGGCCTTAAAAACACATGCAAATAATAAACTTTCACTTGAAGGTTAAAATTTTAAATTACTCAACTATGGTGTTAACTGTAATGTCTGGTCAACTATAATCCTGACTACATTGATCCCTATGATGTGACTATTGCAGACTCGCAAAATTCAATATCATTGCTGAAATGATATATTGTGCAGTCCTAATATAGAGCAAGCTAAATGGTGCTGTAAATGTAAATATTACTAATTTACAGTAAGTTACTGTCGAACCGCTGCCAGTAAATTACTATATATTGTACTATAAATTGTTAACAGTGTTGTTAACGATTTTTGCAAATTACAGTATTTAACTGTAATGTAAACATTTTATTACCGTAGGACAGTGCTATGTTACTGTATTTTAAAGTTCATTCATTAATTGTTATTTAATAAATTATTATGTATATTTTACAATAAAAATATACGATAATGAAAATACATACAGTATACAGTAAAGTAAGCTAAATGGCGCTTTAAACTTAAATACAGTATTTTTGCTGTAAATGGTTTACAGTAAGTCACAGTAGATTGCACTGGAAATTGTTAACAGTGCTGTTAACGATTTTCGTAAACTACAGTATTTTAAAGTAATATAAACCGTTTTTTTTTACCACAGGACAGTTATGAGATGTTACTGTATTTGAAAGTTGCATTGTGAAAATTATTAATTGTCAATTAATTAATTATAATGTATATTTTACAGTAAAGATACAATACTGAAAATACATATAAAGCAAGCTAAATTGTGCTGTAAATACAGTAATTTTGCTATAATTGATTTACAGTAAGTTACTGGCGAACTGCTGCTAGTAATTTACAGTAGATTCTACTGGATTTGAAATTGTTAACATTACTCCTTTTTTGTAGTTGTTAGGGTAATCAATCAACCGAGGAAATATGGTGATAAACATTAGTCATTTTTTACCCTATTCACCTGCAGTGTCTTGCCTTCAGTGGCCTGTGTTATTGGTCATCCTCGTTTGCAGCTCTCATTTTCTCACTCTTACACACACGCACACACACATACACACATTCATTATGTCCATTAAGAAGTAGATGACCAAGCAGAATAATACCAAATGCGCTGCAGCACTGGACCTGTATGTGTGAGTGTGTTTGTGTGTGTGCGCGCGGCTGTGTGTGCGCATGAGACAGAGAGAAGGAGAGAGGTTGTACATTAGAGGGGAAGGTCATAACTGCATTACTGCCCTTTTCAGCCCTCTCTTATGACCTGGATTATCTAACCAATATTCCAGTCCATGATGTCATCAAGCCACTTCCAAACAACATCATATTAAGTATTCAATCAGTTCGGACATATTCAGTATGCCTCTTCTGCAGGCCAAGTTGATAAAATGATAGCAGTATTTATTAATGGCAAACCTTAACGGTTATATGAATTATGATATTCCATATACTGCTTATTAGTTTGACTTAAAGGCATTAAGATGAAAACAGACGTCACTGGATTATAAACCGCTATCAAATGCATTAACATGAGTGTGTGCAATCAGCCAATAACGAGTTGCTCTGACCATTGCCTAGAAAGTATCAGAACACATCAACATCTGCATAAATGAGTGGCATATCTGCAGGCGCAAAGGAGATATTAAATGCACTGTAAAAACAAATCAGAAAATCTTTGATTAAAAAAAGGCAGTTGTGGTTGCCAGATATTTACTGTTACAATGTGATAGAAAAAAAAAACTAATTCTATGTTTACGGTAAACTATTGTTTTTCATTAATTTATACACTATTAATACACCAATGATATGAAGCACTAACATCTACACACAGACAAAAACAACACAGGTACACTGTAAAACATGCTGGGTTCCACACAATCGATTTATGTTGGGTCAACATGAAGAAATTAAGTTAACTTATTAGTTTTTACAAATGTAGGTAGACTAAACAGAAAAAGATTTAGTTGACCCAAACAACTCAAGAATTGTGCTGTTACAGCTTTTTTTTTTTAAATAAGTAGTTTGAACAAACAGCAAACTTAATTTATTGAGCGTATGTGGTGATAAGAAAGTCACATGACAAACCAGTGTTAATCAAAAACAGCTCACCCACAAGCAGAGACGCATACTAATATATAGAAGACACTCGGTGTCATTCACAACTGCTAAACACCATCATGGTAACACACAACAAAGCAAAGGTCACCAACTCGGTTTCTGAGAGCTGCCCTTCCTGCTGATTTCAGTCACAACCCTGGTCAAACACACCTGTCTGTAATTATCAAGTGCTGCTTCGGGTCCTAATTAATTGGTTCAGGTGTGTTTGATCAGAGTTGGAGCTGAACTCCCACTAAAGTGATGCCTCAGATAAATACACTAGATGTAAAAGTGATGTAAAATTATAATTTTTGTTATTCATACTGACCACTGGGAAAACTCCCGATTGTAGATATATGTAAAAATATATACATCTTGGGCTCTGGATGGCCAGTCCTCCACTACACCTTGGTCCCACATTCATTTCAAAGCAGCGCTACCCTGTACTAAAATGTCAGCTCTATTGACGCATTTCTTTCCAATAGACAACAACTGCGTAGACGACATCTAATGTAAATATCTATAAAACAATACAATAGACATTATTCACCAACATTAGATGTATACATAAAGCTTTAATGTACATAAGTGATGAGAACAAGAACTTTAGTAATGTCAACAAAAAACATAAAGAGTCATAAAGAGAATTTTGGGAAAGTCGATTCAATTCCCTGTATATATAAAAGGAACTTACTGTTAACCAGGAACAGACCTTTACTGCAGTACTTTCAATGTTTTTTTTACTATTTAAAATCACAATCATTAATCCATAGTGTGAGTATCTGACCATTTTATGAGAGATAAAACTTGTTATGTAATATATGCACAGAAACAACTGTCTTCACAACCACCTACTAAAATAAATACTTTATTGTTGTATTTTATTTATTTTTGTCTAACTATTGGATATTACTATTAAATAATACTTTGCTAATGTTTAATATAATGTACTTCTACTGTATAGCAATAATAAGAAGAATACAATTTAATAAAGAAGTAATTATGGTGATTTGGTGGAATTATATATTTGTCTTTTGGGATA